GAAGACGTGCTGTGAAGTCAAACACAATTATGTTTTTGAATTTGAATGAAAATGCATTTATGAACTAAGGCACAGGTGTTCACTGTATAAACACCAAAATTTCAAATCTATTTGATGAGGAATATTCGATCATTTCCAAAATTGACTTTGAAATGAAAAGTGTTCTCAACAATTTGTGTGATGAACAACGTTGGGTTCAAGTACGCGTAGTAGTTGTCACACAAGAATACGTCATACGACACATTTATCATATGGACAGCTGCAAAAAAAGTAAATGACCCATTTCTATTTTTTTTTAAATCACGAAACGATGTTTCATTATATTATATATACTCCTCATATCGTGCCCCCTCCCCCAATGATGAAACTGTTTTAATCAACCTTAAATTATTCTGTTCTTCTGGTTTAAGTTGCCAGTTGCATGTTATGTTTAATAGGTAGACCAATGCTTAATGAGTGTCTATGAACATAGTATGTAAATAAGCTAGTTTTTATTGACTCATCCTAAAACAACTCCTTCGAGCGGGTCACATGGCACACAGTCGCATCCTTCAATGTGCTCATACTCGTATTCGACTTGGGTTCCGTTTTGGCACAGTAGGTCAACAACACGCTTATTGGATCGAACGACCTGACAGCATTTACAGTCAAGAATTATTTGGTGGAGAGTGAAAGAGTATTCTACTCGACTGTTGCAGCGACCTTCACAATACCCAACTGGCGTGGGAGAGTTACTTGTACAGCCATCTACAGTGATATTTACATCTTGTGTGTAATTTCGACAATTTGTCTTTTGTAACGCTGTAAAAAGAAAGTACATGACCACAGAAATAAAATTTTGTATCCCAAAATGGACAAATAAAGTTAAGTTACAAATTATGTAACAAATTAACTAATAAATGGAACAACTGGTTCAAATTTATTGATGCAGCTTGTGATATGTATTGGTAAGCAATAATAACCCATCACGGTCTTGCTGCGAGTAAGGAAATCATCAGAGGTTGTTGTCAAATTTTGTTGGAATGACTCAAGGTCAGTAGTTTATAAGTCATCCTCGAAACAACAACGCTTTCTACTCATTTCAAAATAGTATAAATGAAAAATTATTTTTCTTTGATTAAACACAATTAGGTAACCAAGGTAACCAAGGCATTGAAAGAAATATGAACTACTCAACCTGGTTTGTTTCTTGTTTACAGGTGACCTTAACACTAGAATTGAGCCACAAAAAATGAATTTAAAAAAAAACAAAAAAAACTCACCACAATATGGACAGCATTCACCTTCTAGCTGCTTGTAATACTGGAAGAGAAATAACAGAATATATGAATAAAATAAATGTTATCAGAGGTACATTACTTGGGGTTTGTAACTACGGTGACATGATACCAAGATCCTGTCACAATCTCGCTCTCGCATAAGCGTTCCAACTCAGAAAAACGCGAATGCGCATGCCCGAGGTAACTAGGATACTGGGATGTCCAGGTGGATCAAAATAGCTGCCCGCGATATGACAGATTACGAGAACTATATTTTCTGTACATTTTCGATGTATTACATTTTTCACTACGATAGTGGCAAGAAAAGTTTTATTTTTTCATTACAAACCTTGAACATTGATATATGTCATGTCAGAAGGTCGTAGCCTCAGTCTCGCTATCTACGAGAAGAGACTTGAATGGGATCTTGACATGATGTCACCATACAGTACTATGCGAGTTGCAAACCCCAAGTAATGTACCTCGGATGTTATCAAGGTGAACAGTTAGGGTAGGTTACGTAACGTAGGTGTGGTGAACCAACTAACACCAACACAAACTAAAACAAGTCATTGTCAATGACATACAGTAAAATACTTTATTTTCGCTGGAATTAATTTTCGCTGAAAAGGCTTTTTGGGTGTTTTATATGGAATTTATTTTCACTGATTTTTGATGAGTTTAATGTGAAATATAGGAAAAAAAGTATATTCGCTGGATTTTATTTTCACAGAATCATCCCTTCAGCGAAAATAGCAAAAATAAATTTCAAGCGAAAATAAAGTATTCTACAGTAGTGCCCGTCCAGTTTTTAGTTACTGAGTCAATTAAAAACATTAACAGATGTAGATTATAATCAGGGTTTTTTTCTGGAAAAAAAATGCAACAGGGAGCACTGCAATTCAGCAGCGCCACCAAGTGGGGAAGATTGGGTTCTCCCTACCAGGGTGTGAAGTTTTTGATAATTCTAAGTTAAAATGTAGCATTTTGTGGCTTCCTTGAGGCCAAAATTACTATCAGACAGGTCACAGTTGAAGACTGTGGCCACATGTGATCCCTGGTCAATCAGAATTTTAAGGTTGCCAGAGGATCTTCTCCCCAGGGTAAGGGGGCGCATGGCCATGGCATAAGGGCACTGCACCCCTGATCCCTTGTTTAAAAAAATCCGTGTATGTAAACCAAACATGCGTAATTGTAAATGGCTAAGTGGTGATAAAATTAATAAAGAGTTGTATGCTGTGCTGCTGAAACCTGTTTTAAGCGATGAAATTCCAAGACATATCCAGCACTACTGGCATGATATCCTGGATGTTATAATACCATGGGGAGCTGTATGTACACTTCCGTATAAAATCACAACCAATACAAAGCTTAGAAATTTCCAGTACAAGCTTACTATGAAATTTTTGCCTTCTAATCAACTTCTGTATGCATGGAATCTCAAAGATTCTCCACTATGCTCTTTTTGTGAAGAGGTTAGTGAAGATTACTATCACTTATTTTGGGATTGTAGATTTATATATATTTTTTGGAATTCAGTTAGAAAATGGTTATCCTCGTTCACAGAACTCATTTTAACATTAAATGCTCTAAAATGTATTCTGGGAAATATTGATGAGCATGCTAATCCAATGCTTAACTATATCCTACTTATAGGTCGTTATTATATATTTAAGTGCAAGTTACAACACATTATGCCAAACATTGTAGGTTTCAAATCCTGTGTAAAACAAACCATTGATCTGGAAAGTATCATTGCGAAAGCTCAGAACAGAAGAACAAAGTTTCTAAAGAAGTGGGGGCCTTTTATTGAATATTATGATCTGTAAATGTTTTTCTGTTTTCTTTTATTGTTGCTTTGTCTGTAATTTGGAATTTTTGCATTAAAAAAAAAAAAAAAAAAAATCCCTGTAAATGCAAAACCTTACTTTGGAATTCAGGGGGCGCCCATTTAATAAAGGATAAAGTTTATAAAAAGGCTCTAGGATATAAAAACAGTTCATCAGATTTGCCTTTGAATCCATGTCCTATTATGTAGTCTTACAGCTTAGCATGTTCAAGGGACACATGAAAATCAAGTAAAGCTTAGAAAGAACTCCTGTGTACTGAGATATCAACGTAAAGATATCAACGGTAAAGCAGGAAGAAAATTAATTAATTATGCAAATTAGGTAATTAATATGCATGGATATTAACCCAAAACTTATCAGTTCTGTGCATTGCCCTATGACATCCATGTACCAAGCTTCTTTGTAATGTGATAATTAGTACTCGAAATATCAGTGGAGCAGCCGAAAATTGACTACTGGTAATCATTATGCAAATTCGATAAGAAGCAAATGATTGCGGTAGCACAATCTGGCCATGCTGCGTTTCACAATTGTTGAATATAACCTACATTTGTAGTGGCGATTATAATAAAAATAAAAAATAAATTGTTATGAAATGCAAATAAATTTCAACTCAGTTTCATTGTAAGCGAATGATTCCGATTGCATTACATTACGCTTGATACTGTAGAAATTAATATCCGCCATGTTTTGACCTGGGACGGTGTTCTTTAACCTGACAGGTCAAATCTCTAATTAACCAATCAAAATGATTGATGATGCCAACATGTTCAAATTACCATAGCTCATTTAAATCTGTTAATGTTATTAGACACAGTATGGCAAAGATTTGTTGATGTTGTTGCACGATGTTTTGACCGGAATTTTGATGGGAAAGCGGCATGATTTGTTTTTACAGCAAGTCTCAGAAATATTGGGGCAGCCAATTTGCAAACTCACTAGCGAATTGGCTAACTGCTAGATTTTTGACTAAACAGTTGGCTTTCGAATCTCGCTGACGCCGACTCGTGGTCGCGTCCACTCTGGGCGAGCCTATATTGCATTAGGAGACATAGAATGCTTTTATGTATGTAGCCAGGTACATGTTTGGATTCCCCTGAATGATTGCTTTGCAAGGCGTAATAATGTATAAGTAGTTTTCCTGGTAAGTCTGAGAATAGCCACAGTCAGCTGACGTACAGGTAATAATATGATAAGCGATTAATCCACCGATATTTACTATATATATGGGGGTAGCCATCTTGAACACTGATTGAAACTAAAGAAAGAGATTCCTACAAATCAGGGAGAAAACAAACTTTCACATCCAAACGATTCGTTGGGGTAACATTAAGCAAACTGCTAATAAAATTCGACATCACTTTATTACACGAAGAGCACAGAAAACTTTCTCTGGTATATTTGAAAGCAAAATCGCCATCCAACTGTAAGGCCGTCGCTGACTAGCTTCTTAAGTATGACGACCATCCCTACCGGGGTCCCTACTGTTATATAGATTCACCCAAAGTGGGCGTGACCACAAGACGGCGCCAGCGAGATTCGAAAGCCAACCGTTCAGTCAAAACCAAAGCAGTTAGCCAATTCGCTAGCGAGTTTGCAAGTTGGCTGCCCCAATATTTCTGAGACTAGTTGTTTTCAAAAGAAAAACTGAGAGTTTAACATTGTTTACATTGTCAAAACAAAGCTGACCCAATCACGCTAGTTGCAATAAACATCATACTCTTGAATAGGCGTCAATCAATGGCTACGGTGAAACTTGTAGGCATCAGGAAAGATTGAAATAACACCTTAAAAAAACTGCTGAAAAATCACCCGGTACAATGTATGGGATTGTAATTGTCACCAACTGCTGGTATTTAAATATTACCACTTCTTTTAGAGTGGGTTTCCTTTAATATTTCTGAAAATGAATTATAATTTTGAAGCCAACAGACAACATTTAAGTCAATTTTCAATTTTTAATAAAGTAAATTTGGCTATTGGAAAATATATGACCAATCTGGTAATGAGGTGTGGAATTATGCTGCGCTATGAACTTACCGGTGCAGGACAGTCTTCTGGAGTTATAGGTGGACAGGAGACATAATATGAGTCGAGTTTTGGTGTACCATCATCATCCTCTAGACACTGTTTATAATCGCATGGATTATTTGGTTCGAGATCTGTCCAGGTATCATTAATCTGCAATATTTATATAAAGTCATAAAAATACCACAAATTTTAAATAAAGATTCATATTTCAAAGACAAACAAAAAACATTTGGTTCTCGTATATGCTTACCTCATGTCTACCAGTGTCATCAACACACCATCTGACCTTACATGTGCCACAGCAAACTCCTTCTTCAGGTGCAATGTATTCAGAGTCCTGTAAAAGTATATGCCCATAATAATAATATTATGATAACAAATATTATGTGGTATATTGAGGTGGTCAGTGGCGGATCCAGAAGGGGGCCAAACGCATGATGATTCATATCATCTGGATTACGCATAACTTCTCTGCGATTTTCGCTCCGTAATGTTAAGCGAAGCTTGCCCCCCAAATACATTTTGCTGGATTCGCCACTGGAGGTGGTGTCCTGTGCTTGTTCATTTAGCTATTGGTTGCCATGCAACAATGTTTCAACTTTGCTTTATCTAAACAACATAATACTGTAAAATGACTAATTTTCACTGGGTTTAAATTTCACTGATTTACCATTTCATGCACATTCAGTTGGTTTTAAATTCACGGTTTTATCATTTAGATAATGTGTTCTATGCTAAATTTCACATGGGTTTTAATTTAGCACATTTTTCAGTCGGTGAAATAAGCAAAATTAAAACACAGTGAATAATTAACCCCTGTTCAGTATACAAAAAAACTTACCATATTACAGTCAAGGTCACTCATAATTGAGCACTGGATTATTTCACAGTCCAATTTATAGAAATCACTTCCGGGTTCCATACTTTCTAAGCAGTCACATGTTCGACATGGATCTATCCCAACCAAGTCCCTCGTACCAGGCTGGAAAGCAATTATGTTTTATTATAATATGAGGTTATTACGAGAATACCTCAAAGTATGCATGAAGAGAGTACACCAGAAGTAACGACCGATGCAAAGGCGAACTGTCTGAGTGCATACTTTGACGTATCCTCATAATAACCTTATTATTATACATTTTTTCTTTCCAAGGATACATCATGGGAATGCCAAAATCCAAAAAGTTTAGAGCAGAATCAGCGAACTTCTTTGTGTGGAGTCCGGTCAAACCCTGGTGGCAGCCATGTTAGTTTTTATTATTAGAGGACACTTACGCGCATAATCATTCTATATATGGAATTCGCATTTTCTAATATGGTAGAATGAAAATACCCCGTAAAATACAGCAAAATTACGGCACGCTGTAACTTATGGCATTACAATGACATATGTATAATAATATATATTACACACTGCCAACAACAATTAATGAGCAACATATAAAGTACCAGTGTGTGAATAGACTATAGAAATAACCACATTTCAAAAAACAAAATTAAGAATTAATGAACAATATGTAAACATTGGTAAAGTTAGTGTGAGAAAGATATAAAAAATTGGGATGTAGAATTTGAGTAGTCCTCTGAGGAAATGATAAGATATTAATATCATAAATTATATAATATCGCCCATCAGCTCAAGTTACAGTACTACATGTATCTGCCAAATAAAAACTTAAATATCAGGGTAATAACAACCTACCTGGACTTCAAGTACCTCCACAGTATTATTCCATAGACATACCTCCTTTGCAACTGAAAGCACAATTAGTGATAATGCAGTAAGAATAACCATATCCGATTTAGTACCAAAGAATTATGTACCAGGTGTGTATAAATAACATAAATTTTATAAAGTAGAAAATATTTGCAAATGTAACCCGGGCTTAATTTAGGCATTTTTAAAACCATAAATATATAGCATTGTTGCCTACTGTTCGACTTAAATCGCTTAAATATGCACGTATGCAGTTTTGTGATATGGTGCCCTCTTGTGGTATGCTGATGCTACATTGACATGGTTTCCGATAGTTAGTATTTTGTGTGATTTATCGTTCATTTGCATATATTTTGACTTTGTAATTCAATAGTTTTGTAATTCTTTGCGTACTATGTATCATACATGTCAAATTATTTATTCTGGAACATTCTGGAAGCATAGCACTGGAGGAGAGAAACAACAACGGGTCGGATCTCTCTCTTTTTTTTGAGTTCGAGCTGTCAACGTTGCACTGTGCTGTCGAGGGAAGACTGTGTGGCCGCTGAACGAAAAGTGGAAGTGAATCCTGGGATGAGAGAGACGTCGCCGAAGAAAAGCACTTTTGTTGGTGTGCGTCGATGAACTTCTAGTTCAACCCGTGTGAAGATCATTGGGGCCCCAGACAGATTGCAATCGAACATTGAATAATTATCATGTGAACTTTTATTGCATCAAAACTTAATGATTTACATCATTTGTATCTTTTTGGGGGAGCGAGATAATCTTTTCAGTCGTGTATAGCTTTTTTATATGTGGCTGCCAAGATTGCTTCATTTCCACGTAGCACGCTCGGTGAATTTTCCTGTGCGTTCCGTGGGCCACTCTGACCACCATTGGTGGTTGCTATTAAAGGTAATCTTTTACCGTTTGCATATTTAGTGAGAGGCCCATGCCCTGCATTGTTTTGGCTGTTTTTTTTTGGTCAAATTCGTTTTGGTCACTCGTTTGAGAAACCACGATGAATTTTCTCATTTGGTGACGTGTTTGGGTAGTGACGCACTCTCCTTGATAGATTAGTTACGAATGGCCACAGAGTTCTCATTGTGAGCTGGCTTTACAATATTTATTTTCAACCCTCCAATTTGTTTCCAGTCTCTCTCACATTAAGTCCATTAGTGATCAAATGTCAATTGCCATAGATAAACATACATTTCTTTACTTCAGTCTGTATTTTTAGTCAAAATGCTCCCCACATCTGGCAGATAAATTAATAAAGATTCTTCATTGTTTTAAAATTTAAAATAATAAAAATAAGAAATACTTACGACATTTATAATCATCACAGTCACATCTGACATCAACTTCAGCTAGTTGATTTTCATAACCCTACAGTAAATCAACACACATAAAGATGTTATAGAATTGATGCAACATTTGACATGGGCAGGACAAACAAAACATTCTCCTGCGTACATTTATAAATTTTTTTTTTTCATAATAGCTTTTAATTATTGATAAATTTCATCATAGAATGGCAAACTTTCAATAACAGTGTGTTAATAATATGATATCGAACAAGGGGAGTTTACTTACAAGAGAACAGTTGAGCATCTTAGGTGTTGGACAACTGCACACTATTGTGGAGAAAAACAACATGGTGAGTGTCTATGAAACTGGACTTTGGAACAAATCAATTATTATTAGTCTGGTTTTATATTGTTGTGCAGCACGACAGTTATTGGTATTGAGTTTCACAGTTCTCTTGTTTGACGTTTGTTATGCATAAACTGTAAAAGCTAAATAATGCTGCTGGTGTATACATGAGGCCACAGAAACTGTATTCTGTGTTTGGGACTACATGACACAACTGTATGTCCATCTTTCTATAATGAAAACATACATGTAATGCAATATCTCAGTGTCACAGAGACCCAATCGTACCAAATCTAAATTAACGGGCGTAGTCGCCACGCAGCGCATGAGATATGGGTCGCATATAAACAAACATGGTGATGTTGACTGTAGCGCACACCGACTAGTGCAAACTGAGAGGTTACCAAGCTTAATAAGTATTTTTTTAGAGTTTGGAAGATATCGAAGGAGTCGCCGATGGTAATTAGTGTGAATGGCGCCTAGGACAGAACTCATACTCGTTATTTCATTAGAAAAGTGCATTGGATTGTGGGAAAAGGCAATGTTTATCAACACAAATGTCGTACATGCGAGACGCGACGACTATCGCCCTTTAAGCTTGCCTCAAAGTAACATTCATTAATGTATGAATTATAACCAGTGGCTTTGGCCACTTCACTCATTAAGTATGCGGCACCCTCACCCAGAATGTGAGTCAGTGCCACACCCTTTAATAACTCTTGTTAAATAAATTATGGGACAAGTTGACAAAACCTACTGACCACACTCGTATTCAGCACAGCATGCACCTAGTGATTCTGGAGTTTGTTGTTTTCTATGATATGGAAGACACTCCAATTCATCTGCCGGACAATTGGCTCGGTTGCACACTGTGTATTAAAACAAAGATCCATCAATCATGCACAACTAATCCTTTTCGTGGATGAAAATTTGACATGTAGCAAAAAGATACTTGTGTAGACATAAAAACTAATAGCTGGAGTTCATGGCATACAGAAGATATGTAAAATATTTCCTGGAGATAGAGTACTTCATTGCTGTCCAACGGAGCAGGCTGACTTCTCATAATAAGAAATGGGAAATTGTTTTGAAAAATGTTTCCCAGTTCGCTTCATATGCAGATCAAATGCAATTTGTAATGTACAAACCAGGTAAGTAAGATGTTAATTTCAGTGCAAACTCCAAAAAAAATTTATAAATACAAAAAACCAAAGATCCATCAATCAGTGTTTATCTTGTCATAGTTCATCAAAAGAATACAGGGTTATGTGTTTTAAGTTTATGTTAACTCAGAATTTGCTGTGTGTATCGACATCAAATGTTCAACAAAAACCTCATTTTGTCGGATGTTTGGTTATGGCTCTTTTATACATATGAGCATACATGTATGCACTTACCACAACGAAAACTTTCACAACAATCATCAGCGTTTTCTTTGTATTGTTCTACCATCTCATATGGCTCACATTGTGGTATTATAGGCGTTGGGCATGGTTTGCAGGCTTGAAACAAAAATAAAAGAAAACACTGTCATATTAGGATAATTTAGTTTAAATGCAATTTATTCTCTGAGTGAAAAAGTAAACAAAATAGTTTGCAGTCTGCTTTTTTCACACAGAAAATGGTGATGGAAATTTCCACTTTTCTTGATCAAAAAAATGTCAAATTTTGGTCCAAAATCAGAATTGAATTCAATGGATATTACAGAAATGTGAAGAAATTTTCGCCATTTTGTTCGCGGGAAAATTATTAAACTCAGTCATCTAATTTTATTTTGGCTTTTATGCTTTATTTCTGGATCATGTTTATTTATATCTACCGGTAAATCCATAAATGAAAACAGAATAAAGCAGAACAGCAGCCTCCCGACTGAGATAGCTCTGCTGCTAGCAATGCACTTTTCAATTAGAGAATTGAAGATATCATAATGAAATGAACAGTCTGAGAGAGGCCCACCTGAGCACATTTAGCTGGCGCACGCCAGATAATAAATGAAAGTAATATTTATTCTATAGGGGCCGCTATCTTGAATTCGGCATAAAACTAAAGACACAAGTTGTAAAACACTTTTTCAGATTCCTACAATTAAATCAGGACAAAAATACCGGATGTTTCACAGAAATACGATTCGTTGGGGTAATATTAAGCCAACCGATAACAAAATTCGGTCGAATTTGTGTGGAAAAATTCCTTAAATACAAACACCTAATTACATGAAGAACATAGAACACTTTCCTGGGGTATTTGAAACCTTGTTTGTCTCCCATGACATAGGTTGATTAACCACAAAAAAACTGGTTAAAACAGCATGCATCTATTGAACAAAATAGATGACCTACCACATTCCTCCTTGCTGCAACACTCATTAATAGTTACTGTTTTAATTTCTTGGTCTGTTTTACAGATAGGTGATACAGCATGGGATTCGGCTGGACAAAGAGATTGCTCGCACACTGTAAGAAATTATACAGTTTATCAACATTAGTTATTATCTAATTACCACCTTTTAATTAATCTAAATCATTGTATGATCTACGTCAGATACTTTATCACATTTGTATTTAGCTATTGTGTCGATTAAATTGGCAGTTATGTATAC